GGAGGCCGGGGTCTGGGGGCTGCTGGTGTTTAACGCTCCTTGAAAGTCTTTGTTAACATTTGCTTTTTCCAGCTGCAAGAAACTTTCCTTCTCTAGGATTTATAGTGCCTGTATGGGTTTATTGAGGCGGGGGGGTGGTGTTGGGAAGGGGGGCGGATGTGGAGCTCAACAGATCAAGATAGTTCAGAATAATTCACTTTCCGTTCTTTATCCCGAGGAGCCTTTTGCAAAGGCAGAAGTTGGCAGGACGGAGAGAAGGAGATTTTTTGAAGCCACAGATGTTGCCTTTCCTTTTGTAAGGGGGCTGATCACAGGGCAAGTTAAGATGCAGTCTCGTCCCCGAAGATCTTTATCCACGCTTTCCTGCCACATCCAGCTCCTTCCTATCCAGTTAGATTAGCTCAGCCCCACTCAATGCTTATCTGCCGATCATTTGCCTATAAACGCATTAATTATATCTCATCGCTTACATACCGCTTTGTAATGATACTTTATTGATTTAAATTGTCCCTGAGAGTGTGCGGTGAATTGGGCTAGCTTTATTTAAAGGTACAACAACATTTCCATGTACAGTGCTTCATTTTCTCAGGCATTTCAAAAAACTCCAATCACTGTTGGGGGAAAATACAGGCTTCATGTTTTGTTGCCCTTATTTAATGTACTGAATACAAAAAATCGACTGGATTCCAGCACACAGTATATAGATATGCAAGGGGACCTGCAGCATCTCCTGGGCAATCAGTTGAATATGGAACACCGATTCCACAAATATCAGCTAACTTTGTATTTTATGGTTTATTAGAAAGCGAAAGAAACCTTCTGAGTTGTGTTACTTTTTACTCAAAGGTAAACTGAGAGTAACTCCGTGAAGTCTGGGGAGAGCACAGGAGACGTTTGGAGAGGAGAAGGCTGCTAATGCAAAAACATTTCCTAGCAGCAATCAGAGACTGGTAGAGATTTAGGAGATGGTGTGTAGGTTGTCAGCACATGGTTTGATTATGAATTGTGCCATTTAGCCCAACAAAAATATTAGCGTGCATATGTAGCAGCAGATCACAGAGTCAGAATCTGATCATTTTACTCCTTCTCTGATGCTGATATTTCAGGGAAGAGAAGAATAGTAATATCTGTAGAAGAAAGTTGCTTCCATCGCATCAGAGCAAAGCAGTGGCTGAGGGAAGCACCGCTCTCCTCAGTCACGCTACCGCACACTGACACCTTCCAAGAGGTTTGGAAGGACTCAGGCTGGTTCAAGTCAAACAAAAACCAATTACACCTGGTTATCCGGAAATGTTATGGAGGTGCCTTGTCACATTTTCAACACAGGAGGAAACTGAGTAAGAATTGCCACAGAGTTTGGGGACAGCAGCTTTAACTCATAATTGTTTTTGTTAAAGTTCAAGAATAATGCAAGCAGGAATACACCCTTACTGTAAAATAAATCCCACCCTAAGCCTCTGTGTCTAAAAGTAGAAGGTAAACAGGAGAACAGCCAAGGCCACGCTCCCTTATTCCGAATGACATGAGCTATAGTATTGTGAGGTCATTGTCTGACATCAAAAGTTTCCAAAATCAGACATTTTTTTCCACAGTACCTGTTTTAATGTAGGGGACGCTGATGATTATTTTCCTTCTAGTTTCAGAGCCCACCATGAAGAGACTCCTGGTGCTTTGTGACTGCCTCTGGGCCTGGAGCCTCCTTCTGAATGCATTGACTGAAAGAAGGTGGGGAGATATTTTTTAATGCACCAACATATTTTAGGAACCTTCAATTTAATATAGCAGCATAAGACAAATACTGCATAGGCTGCACTGCTACTAAGTGTATTGGGGGAAGTTAATCCCTGTTCAAATCCCAGCTAAATCTAACTAAGGGAAGAGTGAAAGAAAACTACAATTTTTTTGCATAACATCTTTTTTCAATATTGTGAAGAAAAAAACCAAAAGCTTTCTGAAACAAATTGAAACTAAACTACCTCTTAAACACCTGTGCAATGCTTTGCAAGCATATAATGACTCCTCAGAAATACAAGTTTCTTTAGAGGGGGGAAAAAAAAGTGTAATTAAGTTTTTTTTAATCTCATTTAAGTGCTATTTAGTAACTTTATTGTCCCTGCAAGCAGAGGCAAAACTTTCACTCCTTGGTTGGTCAGGACTGTGTCCTAACTTAGTAGCTGGTTTTGCAAATCTGAAGTAGACCTTCCTGGTGAAGGGAGACTGCTTGGATGAAGAAGAATTTGTAAGCTCAAACCCCCTAACAGTTTATGTTTGAAAGATCATACTGTCCTGAGCGTTTACAGAAGATATGTTGAAATCATAATCTAAAGATAACATTAGTATTAAGAACAATTTGTAATCATACAACACCTCATCTAACAAGTAGGTTAACTAAAGACTATAAAGCAGTTTGGAGTATACTTGAAGTACTCTCTGCAATTCAAAATTCAGTAAAGGTGTTTAAGAAGACCCACAGATATATTTTTGTATTTTAAAAATATTAATGTCCTGTCAATAATGCTATCTAACAACCAAAAAACAGTAGAAATTTTGTATTGTCAATAGTGATCCCTAAAAAATGTATTTGTGCCTTGGTCTCCATAGTGTCTCCTTATGCATTCGCAGTTCTAGATAAACTTACCTACTGGCTACTTTGACGATTTTAAATAGAGTGGAGTGGGCAAAGGGGCAAAGGTTCATCTGCACAAGTGTTTTCTCTAAAAAAAAAAAAAAAAGCATAAAAGCGGGTGATTCATGTTACAATTGCTGTATTGAATAAACATGACATTTTAGCAGAAATACCTTTATTTTCATAATATATTAAGAAAGGTGAGATTTGAAGTCTTCATGAAGCACTTCATCTGGCCTAGCTAGAGAATTTTGTGAAAAATTGTTTATTATATAGATATGTGTACATATATATGTCTACAAGTATTCATGTTATCTATAATGTATGCATGTGCATTCTTGAAGTAAGAATTAAAACGCACTGGACTAGTGTTTGAAAATTATCTGGTGTGTCACTATTATAATGACCTGTAGATGGAGTTAGTGCACAGTTTTTTATTATACTGTGGTTTAATATGAAAACACAATCGCATACAGCCACTTTTTCCTCAAAATGTACACACCTAACATGAAATATATCTGTTTCTAAAGCCATTTTGTCATAGTAACTTCCCTTGCCTTTTCTTCTGGAGTGCTGTTAATCCTTTGTGATAAAAAACAATTGATGAACTAGGTGAAGTGTGTGATACAGAAAGACACAGTCTTTCCATATCATTCTTCTTGTTATAAAAAATGAGCATTAAGACTATTTTAATGTGTGTGTGTTGAATGAAAAATCACAATCCCTCTGGAGTTACAGTATACTTTATATGTACACGAATGTTCACATTCTTCCTGTTGTGACCGTACGTCAGTTAAAACCAGCCCTGACGGTGCTTTTTACCTCTGATAAAATGGTGGGATGAACAGGTAAGGGTACTGACAAATGCGACACCCAGAATGGAAGCGGTGTGTTGTATTACATCCTTTCCGACTGCACTGCCACTTGTCCATCTTTCTGACACCTTTTCTGCAAACATACTCATTTATTTACCGCTAGCATTTCTGAAGTGTTTTTATATCCTTCTGCCACCTTAATCCTGATGACCTTCTGCTATCCTTGAGATATGTATGTACAGCAGCTTGTTTACTGACGATGAGTGTTAATATAAAATTGAATCCAGTGAAAAGTCCTGTGTTGCAATTCTACACAAAGCATATGAGGAATGATCCTTTGAAAGATAATGCTCACTGGAGACAGCAGGAGAACTTGTTATTTGGTAATGTATAGGAAGCATTAAAAAAAAAAAAATTAACATCTGTGACTTAAAATGCAACTGTAAGTATGAAAAATAAATATAAATCAACCTTTTTTTTATTAAGTGAAATTCTATGATATGGCTAGAGGAAATTAATAATTTTTTTAAAACTGTTAGAGATTTTGTCTTCTTCATTAGAAACAGTGATTTATGTGCATTAAAAAAACCTGGAAAATTGTTCTCTACAAAGTCACATCCTACTGAAATAAAACAAAAGTTAGTAAAACTTCTGTGAGTGTCAGTTCTGAAACTCATTTAAATTTGTAGTGTTACTTATTCAGACCTGTGCTGTAAAAGAACTTGGAAGCATTTCCAGAGTACCTATATTCAGAGCATCTTTCCTCCTTCTCTCTGTATTTGGAATAGATGTGTGGGATACACAAATGATGTTTGACTGATGCAGCTTATGGGAAATCGTTTCGCAGGTATTTTAATAGAACCAGATCATTTCATGTAACAGTATATTCCTCCTAAGATGGTCTTTGCTGGTTAGAGCAGGAACAACTGGCAGAGCACTGAGACCCACGTATCGCTGTAGCTGTATGGATAACAAGCTGCCGAATGGAGGGAACACTTCTGTGACTAGACCTGGATCCTAACAAAAGCTTTTGGCACTGCACTGTTTATCCAGTTCAGTAGCAATGCATGCAACAAAATGATGTTTTGGAAAGCAGTGGTTTTGCTTTTAGTCATGATAACTACACGTGTTTATAATGGAAGTCTTCCCAGCAGTGGATGAAAAAACGATACTGGGTTTGGCTTTGAGACAACTGTATTCTATGATTTAGGGAATCATCTATGATAGGGTATTTGGTAAAGGTTTCAGATTTAAGAAGGTTGATTCTGATGCCATCTACAGCAGACAGAAACCACTAAGCCCAAGGATTTCGTTCTGATTTGTGTTGATGGAAGTAAGATTTTGGTAGCTGAGTTCAAAGAGCTTAATTTGATCCTTGCTCAAGCGAAATTTCAGGACCTTTGGCTGAGTTAGAGATATACATTGGGGAAAGCTTTATAGACATGAGAGATTTCCATATCAATAGATGGTTTCATTACACATTTGTAAGGAAAAGTTGGAGGTATTGCTCCAAATCTGATTGCAAAAGGAAAGTGGGAAATAAAGCAAAATTATGAAAATGCACACTCACTTGATTTACTTCTATATTCACAAAGAAGACATCTGTATTTTTTAATCTTTGTTTTAGCATTCATTTTCAGTACTTAAGTGTCAGTGTTCTAAATTATTGTATCTTGCTTTGTATGCAAACCCTTTATAACTATTATGAATTAAACACATTATCTTTTGCTGACAAATGGGCCTTTTACTGAGGAACACATATTAGAATATTACAACCATTAATGAATAATGCGATAAACATTAAGGAACTGACGTTCTATTTACTGACCATTTATAGAGAGGCACTGGTTTTCTGTGATTTTACAAAAAATGTACAATTTAAGAAGAAAATGTTTAAGTGAAAGAACCCTATAAAGCACTACAGTCTTGTTTTATGGAGGAGATGTTGTGACCATAAACCAGTATAAGGAAGATTAAACAGATTTTGGAATTATTGTTTTGTAAGGTTATTGGTGGATTACTGTTTTTCAGTGTTAACTGTTCTGTATTTCAGCTATGGACAAACCTCATCACAAGATGAACTTAAAGACAACACCACAGTATTTACCAGAATATTGGATCGTCTGCTGGATGGTTATGATAACCGCTTGAGACCAGGACTGGGAGGTGTGTTCTATTATAATTTTCAAGGTTACCTGTTAGATGAAAATCAGTTAAAACAATGTTATTTTTCCATTATATACTTGTTTTAATTCTGTTTATATATACACATAAAATAATGCTGATATGTAATATCTATTTTTTCAAAAATTCCATGCCCTCTCTGTCTTTCACATACTTGGTTTTCTCACACTTATACCCAAAAGAAGAAGAAAATGGTTCACAATTCAAGATGACCTCTGAATACATATTAAAACTTTAAATGTATGAAGAATAAAAGATAATAAAATAGACCTGTGACCTGACAAATAACAAGTTTATGAATCAGGCCTAAACAGCACATCTATCTATGACTATCTTCATAAGAGGATTTGGTTTTAAAAGTGAAGGCATCAATCAACCTTAGTCATAAAAGTCTCAGAGAAGTTGAAAAGATTTTTTTTCTACTTAGGTATGTCAGGATTTGTTTCTGTAACATTTTGTCTTCATAGCTTGGTAAAAATGTCTTTCTTCTGGTCTTGGTGCTGAATCTATAAAGAGGTATAAATACACATAGCAATTACATCTTTATAAAAATGTTGTTACAAAGCCTAGTCTTTATCAGCATCCCTATGTTTACTCTTTGATTTGTTTTACTGTGACACAACCCCAAAATTGGGTCTTAAAAGTTTGTTGTTCACAAACATGAAAGTTCTAAACATACAAGCACAAATCTGTTCTTTCCAGTGCACGGAAAGGTTGCTTTTACTTCTTTCAGATGTCTTTTTTTTTTTTTTAATTTTTTTTTTTTTTTTTTTTTTTTTTTTTTTTTTTTTCTTTTGGACTCTTCAGGTAAAATAAATCAAAGCAACCCACCCCACAAAGTATAGTTCAACCTGTTTTCATATAATAGCTCTTAGAGGAACTGCATTATAAGAAGAACAGGGTATTACATTAAGAATTCTTATACCATCTCCTGTGGATGAATTGGAAGGTAATTAAGAATAAGCTTATTCTGTGGTTTGAGGCTACCATCTTGCACCAGTTCTTGATTTGTGAGCCACCTTCTTCAATGGTTTGACTTCACTGACTTCAAGAAATGGCTAAAGATAAAATTCCTGTTATAAAGTATTAATTAACACATTTAAAAATGGGTTGGTCTGTAAATTTTTGTGTGCAATTTCAGATAATACACAACAAAATAAGAATCACTTTTTACTTTTATTTACCAGTAGTTCTGCTTGCTTACTTGTAAACCTTTGGACTAGCGTAGAAATAAGTGCTCCTTAATCTTTGGTTGATGCAACTGTACAAATCAATCAGCTACAATATCACAGTAAATCAACATAGCAGAGACGGCAGTAAATAAATAAAACTCTGTAAACTGTGTAGAGTCTGGTACACGACTACAAGAAAAATCTGAGCACATGATGATTTCTTATATTAGTTCTGTAGCTGTTATGGTTTGTTTAGCAGTTACTAGAACAGCAAAGAGATACGCAGGAAAAGCATTTTCTCTAGACTGCAATTTAGAGAACTAAGCACATCAGTGTAGAGTCTTAAGTGTGTGTTCATACATATGTTTCTGAATCCCGACTTCAGGGGTATACTGGGAGAACAGGTCTGTGTATCTCATGAAACGATCATCCAGTCCAGCTAAAATTTACTCCTGACAGAAAGATTGTTTAATGTAACTGCTTCTATAGGAGGAAATGAGTCTCTTCACAAACTTTAATAGCCATTTGCATCACCATCAGTTAAAAGCAAAAATGAGTGGAGCACAGGAAATATGGGGTGGAGGGAAGGCAGGACTGGAGTAGTTTCTCTAACCAAGGGTTAGAGAAGTTTAAATAATCTTTGCATCCCTCCTTTTTTGAACTGTGTTGCATGTTCCTGCCTGGAGCCAAGAACCTTGAATATCACAGTTTCCCTGTTGCTCAGTACATTATAGTTTCACGGTGTCAGTTCAGCAGAGTAAATTTAATTTATCTGTTTTATTTGTCAGCTTTGAATACTAGAACTAAGAGTACCAGGACTTTTAAAAAATCCCACATCTTATGAAATTGTGGGCAGTAAATTAATGTTTAAAATCAAATGTAGTAAGAAGTAACTTCACTCTTCTGACTGTTGAATAATGCTTTATTCAAAAGACATAAATTGTAGATTCCAAAAACTAGGGACAAACATCTAGGCCAATGTTTTCAATTCTGGTACCGATTTATAATAAAGGGTTTGCTGAGGAATTTTGAAATTCATCCCTGCAAAACCTTCTTGATGGTGTATCTAAATATGAGCTAGGAACCTCAAGATGACTCAATTTTGACACATTTGATTCAGACACTTCGTATAATGGGGAAATGTATTCTGAGATGTTCCATACGTAAAAATATCCAACAAGAAATCTGAATCAATATATCAAATATAGCACAGTTTTTGGAGTTGAAAGTTCAATAGCCTTCCATTATAGCATGATGTGTTGCTGGAAATTTTAAAATGTATATGGAAGAGCAGTGTTTTCATTTTTCTTCCCAACATCAGTGATGGTTTCTTATTAAATATTTCAACCAGAACATGATTTTTATCTACTCTAAAGAGAAGGTTAAGAAAGCTACCAATATAACAGCATTTTTAGATATATAAAATTAGGTCTAAACTTCATTCATTCCATATTAGCTGTGATGTAACTATCAGAGAATTTAAGAGACCAGAGATCATTATACATATATGTTATGCTGATAAATTTTATGCTGTTAGGCACAATGTAAATCTGTGTACCACTGATTACACTATACTACTCTTCCAATTATCCAAAATTGTCTGTCCTGTTCTTTCTGTGCCTTCTGAAAAACAGTAGATGAAGTAAAGCATTGTGTGGTACAGTTACTTTCTTCTACAGAAAGGGACATATTGCAGAAAACACTCTGCTTATCCCTGCGCAACCTCTCCTTCTGTAGTGTAGTTTTTCAAATATATACACCTACAGACAAGAGAATTCTGTGCATGAACAGAAACAGAAAAGAGAACCAATTTCTCTCTCTCTCACCTATGGAAGAAAAGGTAGATCATAGAGTTTCTTCAGTCAGTTTATTTGTTTCTCCTTCCTTGTGTTTATGTGTACGCATGAAGAACTCAGTGACAAAAAGGTATGTTTACTGAAAAATTGTAATGAATTGTGAAAGAGGTTTGGTCTTGATCTTGCTCTACGCACTTATAGGAGTAACTTCCTCCTCTTAATAAACACCTTGATATTTCTCTATCCCAAGTTTACAAACTTCCTGTTAGTGTGGTGAACAGTTTCATTGTTTGGTAGAAATGTCCTGGTGAGGAAGATGAGACACTGTGAGGCCAGGAACAAGCTCCTGGAGAGATCTCATTACAAAGATACATTGTTGGAGCTATACTATATATTAATTGGAAAGCCAGGTTAAAGGGTGGAGCATTAAGATAATGAAAAATTTAGAGGTGCTGAATTTTGAATCAGTCTTTCAGCATGCATGGAATCAGTGCTAGATTAATATTAAGTCCTCCCTTTCCTTTTTTTAGGTCTTCTTTTGAGGTATCACTTCAAAAGGAAAACTAAAACCCACATATGCTCCATAAAGAGTACGGGAATGAAAATTATTTTTCATCAGATAACCCAGTAAGACCATATCTGAAATTAAGTGAGCAGCTCTGAGCATTTTGCCATTAAACAAAGAAGGAATTATTTCTCATTAACAAGAATATAAAAAAATGGAGCAGGTGACCCACAGGGAAAAATTATAGTGATTGGATATACTCAGTATTTAAAAAATGGCATTGTGGCTAAAATTAATCTGATTTTTCTTTAAAAGAAACACACAGCGCTATGTTATGCATTGGCACATTTGCATCTCTTATCAATAATTATTGATATAAATTATGTTATTTAGATGTTTTCCTCCTTCATATGTGGGCATAGTCACTTAGTCAGACATTGCTAGAGAACAGCATCTGTTGTACCCATCCGTAAACATGGACAAATAACTACATTTACAGTTATTTATGCCTGGAAAATAGAACTTTCAAAATAAATGTAAAAGCATTCTGAATCACACTAGAGGACACCTATTAACTCTATGAGAGGATAATAATTTACAAAAAGCAAGGAGGAGGAATTGCAGAGAGTAACATATTGAAGCTGAAAAAGAGGAAACCGTGTTAGACATTAAGGGAAAAATAAATGGTGAAGTCATTTAGGTAATGACATAATTTTCTGTAGGAACTATCTGGATCCTAGAACTACAGGTGATCAAAAATAGGCTAAATAATAAAGATGCTGTTCTCTTTTCAAATACACAATCCTGAACAAAATAAAAGATCAGACAGTGGTGGGAAGGACTCAAATAAGGAGGGAAATCCACCTCAACGTTTGGTAACCTCTCATAGTAAACCACTATATCAAGAGTGGGAGTTTTAAAGAATTGAAAAGCAATGAAAAATGATGGAAGAAATAAATTCCTCAGATCAATGGATATGCTATTGCCTTTTGTTCTGCATTGTCTTCATGTGGGGAATAGAGATGAGCCCTGGGATGCCACCATGGCAGATTTGGAGTGCCACAGTGGAGAGAGGGCAGGCTTGCACAGGACAGGTTGGTTGTACCTGGTGCTGAGATTCATTAACATGAAATCAGATGCAGCTACAGATTTTTTATGACTATCACCTTTGCAGTGCACACATCCCTTCTCTAAAACTAAAGGATATCACATGGTCTGTGACCTTTTAACTTAGAATAATTGTCAGTGTGGTTTATCCCTTTGAGAGGGATTTTGTAGTAGAAAGGTTGTTTAATACAAAACTAAGAAGAACAAGAGTGAGTTTGATTAGGCAGACCAGAATCTTCCTAAGTGAAATTTGCTTTTATAGTTGGGTTGAATGCCCGTTAGACCATCCCATATAGATTATCACTATTACTTCAGTACTGATCAGAATTATACTTGGTTTATGATATCAGTGAAAGCTATTTGTTGAGCTCTCCTGTGTGATGTTTATCAAAATTGAGTGCG